GACCAGGCCTTTTCCCCAACGGATGTAGCTCAATGTTATTTCTTTACGAGATAGTGAGAGCAGAACAAAAACACATTTTAAATTGCAATTTGGCCTGATTTCATAGTATTAGGTGACAAATAAGAGCAGACAGCAGTCTAAAGCATTAAAATAAGTCTGAAGCAAGATACACATATGACTTCAACACATATATGATTTAAAATTATATTGGAAATATACTGGACTTCAGAATATATCAGTTAAAAACAGTAGTAGATAGTAAATAAGTGAAGTGATTCAGCAGAGATGAAGAAAGGCTGCAGACGACTGCTCAAACCGATACCAGGTTATATGTTAATAATTCTCCATAATGTCTGTCTGCAGCTTCCAGGGACGTAACCTCTTCTATTTTTGGAAAAAGCAGACATCCCTCCACACTGACTGATAATGGCCTGCAGAAGTGTGTTGTTTATCCTTTAGCTTGGCAGTGAAAAAAAGTGAATGATTTCCATCCACACAGCAGCCTCGGCCTTAGAAAACGTCCTGACAGATGGCATTTTGAGAAGAGTTAGCACATTACAACATGTGTAACGTGTCCAAACATTAAAATCTATATCATCCACCACAGTAATACGTTTTAAAACCAATTATATTACTCACATTCTCATCAAATTAGAGCAAAACAAATATCCTGCCATCATAAAATATTTTAATTCCAAACTTTTAATTCCTGAAAATTGGATCATTTAATACTTTTCAGGAGTTTTAAGCTTCAATGGACACACTGTCTCTGTCTGTTGAAATGAAAAAGTTGAATGTGGATTTGTCACTGTGTGAAAAACGGGGACACAATAAGTGTGGGCGTGCAAGTATGTGTGTATGTGTGGGCTCTGTCACAGACCTGCAATATAGACTGGGGAATTGCATCATCACTCTCCGCAGTGGTGTGTGTGTGTGTGTGTGTGTGTGTGTGTGTGTGTGTGTGTGTGTGTCTGGTCAATATATAAGCTGCTCTTCCGGTCCCCTCTACCCAGGAGTGAGTGTGACTGAGCAGACTACAGAGATAAGAGAGAAAAACAATACACTGTACCCTGTGGTAAAAAGATATGCTATGATACGCTACGATACGCTAACATAAAGATAATCTTGTCAATAAACTGGAGCAAACCTTCAATACAGAAAAAATACAATGGAAATATGATCACCATGAAGGAAGACTAGAAACTGAAGTCCAGACACACACACACAAACTCAGTGCTCAGACACAAGTCATCATATCATCATCATGTATCAATAATATTTGTCCATTATAATTAATATGTTAACAACGTGGATGAAGCGAGAAGCATAATCTTGCTGCAGCTTTCCAAAAAAACCTCAATGCAATAGAAATGTCAAACAACTGTCAGATCGAAAGTAAACAGGAAGCAGCTCAAGCGAACAAGTGTCGCATCACAGATCCACTTCCAGGTGAACTATGCAGCTTAATTCAATGGTGGTTTGTTCAAATTAGCGTGAGGTTGGGCAACACCACAATATATATCCTGAGATATAAATTTCTCAATCGTCATGAGGTTTTGTCGAACGGTTCAGACTGAAGCAGCTGTCCCTTTCAATAACCTGGGGGCGTATTGTAGACAATGTTGTAAATCAATGAGCAGGACTGTTTTATGGTAGTATTTGATTATGTTAAGAGTTTTGCCTTTACAATAAAGTGGGGTGGTGGGGGGGGGGGGTGACAGTGATGACGCAGCAAAGAGCCACAGGTTGAACTTGAACCCGGGCCGCTGCAGTCTACGACTAAGCCTAAATGGTATGTGCTCTGCCAGGTGAGCCCTCGGGGTGCCACAACATCAGTTGTCTTTATTAATGGACGTGGAGCCACTACGCTATGCAGAGAGAAGTGTTTTAGACCATCTCTGATTCACTGACGGTTTGTGACTGGCACTCGCAGCCCCAACAGTCGTTACCAAGGAACAAAAATATAAGACTGACGCTCAGATTGTGAAATAACTGAATGTCATTTTTGGGGGGTTATTTTTTCAGCATTTTGACGTTGTTGGTAGGACAGTAGAGATACAGACAGAGAGCACAGGGGGAGGGAAAAGTGGGTATGACATTCAACAAAGGTTCCCAGCTCGAATCTAATCCTCAGAGGCGTAGTGTAAGTAAAATGAAACCAGATGCAGATGATACACAATGTCAGGGCCAGATTGTGTTTACAAGAGTAATCACAGGAACCTACTGGTCAATACTCTGAGGTTTAGTTTTCAGATTCAATTGAAAACTATGGAGAGCTTTGGTCTATTCTGTGGCTGTGAGTTGCCAGTGTCAAAAGGTGATCTATTACAGGGTCACTTAATCAGGAAACCTAATTCGTTAACAACGCAGCTAACATACAATACACCCGGAAGCGGCAGACAGCACGCCAGTCCTCAGGGGGGTGGTAATACAATAGCTGTGTGTCTGTGTGAAGGAACAGAAAACGAGACAAACAGCTAAAGGTGAAAGGAGCTAAAGCTAAAGGAAGCTAAGGAAGGAGTGAAGACGACAGTGAGACGTGTGACAACTGGTCTGCTGGTAGACTGATGGAGGAGTACGCAGACTTGGAGCATCAGGGGGGGTATGGTGTGACAGCCGGATGTAGGTTCAGGGTTAAAATAACACTGTCCTCTTTCTCACACCCCCACACACACACATACACACACACACACACACACACACACACACACACACACACACACTTTGACTCCCAGAGGCTCCCTTTCCTCCGAGTTCTCCTCTGTCAGTCTGGGCCCCCCAGGCCCTCCAAGCATTCAGAGACACTCTCCACAAAAAGCACAGTCACTGGTCGCTGCTGCTATTCTGGGAGCTTCCTCTCTGCTTCCCAACTCGCTTTTAGTCCCTTTTCCTCCATCCTCCTTCTTTCTCCATCTAGCTTTTTTCACACTAGCATTTTTTTTTTATCCTGCATAACAAGCAGCTTTCCAGGAAGCATGAATTCCTTTCTGGAGTATCACAGGCTAAAATGTGAAACATCTTCTTTCCCGCTTCTTCTGCAAATGCAGGTACACAGATTAGATTTTACCAAGATTTCTGGGAAGTGAATTGTGGGTAGCATAACTTCCAGTGTGAATGGTAGATGAGTAAACCTTACGGGACTCATTTACTTGAGTTTTCCACTTAACTGATTTTAATTTTCAACTGTACAAAAATATCATTTATTGTCCGTTTTCAATTTGAATTATTCCATTTCAACACGACTGTATTAACAGGATATATAAATATATTTTTGCTTCCAAACTCTCCCTCTCTATCTGGAAATCACTATGTCTGATCTTTATAACCAAATAACAAGAGTTTTATTTTTATTTTTCTTGGCCAAAGACAAACCTCTGTGACGAACGCTGGCTCATCTGCATTTACATCTACATTTTTATGGTGTTTGGATTCAATCAATTCAAGCAGAAGATGCAAACTCAAAGCTCCGATGTGTGATAACGAAATCCGCTGCGCTTTACTTGACGTTAGACTTTAAACAAACTTACGCTGCATCGTACAACTCTTTATCATTTCTGTTCATATAAACATGAATGTGCCAGTGTGCTACAGCAAAGATCAGGCCATGTCTTTTACAAACAACAGCAGTACGTTTAGTAAACTAACAGCCTTCACCTGGATAAAAGTATCACAATCTCAATATAAATCTACAAATATTAGCACTAAAGTTATTACTATTGCATCATTTCAGTGTTTTCATTTTATGGCTGAAAGTGAAGCCAACTTCCTCGTATACTGCTGGGCTGTTTGACCTACAACAATGGCCATTAAATGAATATGGTAAAATTGAAATGCTTCCCTCTGAAATGTAGTGAAGTAAAAGTATAAAGTAGCATGAATGTGAAATGGAAGTACTTAAGTAAAAGTTGAACAAAATTGTTCCTCACTACAATACTTGAGGCTACAAATGTAATGTTTCAGTCAGAGAGTGGACTATCCCCTCTGACAGAGGAAGGAGGCCTGACTTGACCTTAACATTACTGTGAGATAAGCATCTTTAACAAGGCTGCCACTCCCCCCGCCCTCAACCCTGCTCCAATTATAGAGTCATTTACAGAACGAACCGCTGACGGTCGGCCTCTGATACGTAAACAACTGGCCTGGTGGCAACATTCGCTCATTTGTGTTGCGCTTCACAAAACAAAAGCATACATACAGTGTCAGTGAGTGCACCCACTCACACAAAGGCATGCTGGCACAATTCCTACATTCACAGGCACACATACTGTTCCTCTCACTTTCCCTCCACTCCATCTCAGCTCTCAAACACACACTTGATTATTATTTCTCTTTGTACTGAGGCTTGCAGACACCTGTTAGGGAGTGGCTGGCTGGCCAGCATCCTGTGCGTGGGACAGAACACAGCGTTTTCTATTAAAGCCGCAAGTGTGACTCTCACTTCCTCCTCATTAGCTAAGAATTGTTATTCGGTGACTGTTCCCCCGCAAATTGATAATCAGTAAATCATGGACAAAGCACGTCCCCAGTGGATACGCAAACACAAGCCTGATGAAACAGGAAATGGTAAACCACTTCCACCTAATGTTTTTAAGTGTATATGCGCAAGGAAACCATAAAGACTTACAAGATTCAGTGTTTTCTATCCCAAACTCACACACACATTCACACATGAAAACCAACATGACATCAACCCCGGTGTTTGCTCCTCTGCATTTCCAAGGTGAATAGCTCCCATTCAGACGTACTGTGAGCTGGTCTGTGAGCCTTCCTGCTCTGAGGAGAGCACAGTCACCGTTTGGCATGACCTCATGTCTGCATAGCTCACACACTCACACACACCGAGACAAAATAGCAAACAGAAAGTGTGGCAGATAAAACACACAACCCAAACTTGTGTCAGTGTTTAAACAGTGTACATTACAGCAAAAACATGCACAGCTCAAAGTGATACTCGGCTGCAGAGAACTCAGTGGTACAGATACGTCTGGATGTCTTCTTACCTGCAATATCTGATCCATAGAAACCTGGTTCTCTTTCCTGGTCTGAGTCCAGCGTCAGCTCTGACACTGTAGATGCTCCCCTCAGGTTGATGACAGAAGGCCAACAACGTGCAGATGAGGCCCCAAGTCCATGGCACTGTGAGATTAGCACACCCTCACATGATTTCATCTCCATCCATCGACCAACACAAACACAGGAGTATGTTGCAGGAGCTGCCTGGAAAACCAGAAAAGCAAGCAAACAAAAAGGAAATGGTCGCATTAAAGTCTGATGGGAGGTTAAAATTTCTCTACAGCAATAATAGAAGAATAATATTGTCCAAAAATCATATATCAAGTGAGCAGCACCCACGGCTCTTATGCATCAGCAGAGAGACTTAATATTGTGATGAGAGAAGGAGTCAGAGCCAGAGCCTTGGAGCCGTTTACAGGACACACACAGTTTGTGCACTTGATGAACACACAGGATAACAGTAAGCACTTTTTGTGACAGTTGTTCTTGCTAGATTAAAAAAACTGAAAGGACAAAATAAATGAATTTGGTTATCTACCATTTGCATGATGAGATATCCTGTCTTGAGAAATTTTCAGCTACACAACAGGAAACGACGGTTCTTTTAAAATGATAGTGAGTTCATTCTTTGTTGATCAAAATGGTGAGTCCGAACACTTCAGTAATGTACACACACAATAATGATCATCATTTTGAGGTATATTGAGATCATTTACATGAGAACCCTTTGGTTTATGTTAACCTCCTCTACTCTTTGTTCATCTTCCTTCCTATTTCAAGGCAAATCAAACTTCACTGCTATTGCGGTGAAGTTCTGCTTCACCGCTGAGCTTTCACCCACCCACCCACTCACACTTTTCACACATGACCAAGCAGAGTGCTGGCAACACCTGCACTGGGTGAACCAAAAGGGATGAGTAACTCTCTCATTATAAGACTGTTGCAAGACTGAAAAGTGAAACCAATGTGGTCAGATGAATTTCATATTTTTGACTAATCCGCAGTATAATCACGTTGGAGCAAGTTCAAGGTCTGACAGAGAACACAGTTCAAAAGAACATGAAACTGTGATTCACTGAATCAATAACCTACAGTGGGCTACTACCGGAAGCAGCTTCCAATGTTGGATGTGAATTGACTTGACGTTGTTCCAAGCCAGGTCTGGGGGCTGGGGTAGGAATGCCTGAGGGGCCCTATGCAGGAGAGGGGCAGTATGAATGAATCAATGCGATTCACACGGACACACGAGGACACAGCCCACCCACCACCTAGTAAAGTAGCTGACTGGAGCCTACAGTGTCAGAGGAGAAGTTCAAAACAAGGAGAAAGACCAAGCTATTCTTCCTCCCTGCATACGCTCCACAAATGACTCCTTTGTCTGTGAGAAAACAGACTACGTATGTGACTGAACAGTGCGACACGAGCATGCACGACAGTTACACTCTAATCACACAGGCATGAACTGTAAACAAATACACACAATCAACGGACTGGCAGCTTTTAACTGACATAAATCCCCGGGCAAGTCATTAGTTTATCGACATGCATTGGCAGCGGAGGCTAAAAGAGTAACATATTTTTCTATTGACAACAATCTGCAACATGCCCGAGGGCGACATCACTTGATTTTACGTTTTTATTATGCAACAGTGTCAGTGGACATGGAGGAGAAGGTAGTTCATGGGTGCTGCCCCCACCCTGGCAAATAAAGACACACAAACACCACCCAGTCCCTGGAGAGTGTAAGAAATCCCAAAAAATAACTGCACACACACAACTAAGCTCAGAGGCCAGTTAAAACACAAGATTAGCTCTCATGCCTGAGGTCATAGGATCAACTACAGTGACCAGAAAAGAGTCGTGTTTTCTTATCTCTTTACTTATATTTACTGTGGAAAGGATTCAATGTGACATTAGTTTTCTGATTATGCCGTTGCACAAAAATGCTAAATGTTCAAAAATGTGTCTAAATCAATAAGAATGGTTCAATCCCATTTTATCTGCAAATATAACGTCCACTTTCACTGTTATGCCGAGGTGAATTATCAACTCTAACACATTTTCAACGAACACTGAACATTACAGCCTTGATGAAGGCAGGATAAATTACACGACTATTGTATTAGACCACATTAGACTGTACAGCTCTTCATCCTGTCTCCAACCTCTTTGTCTTTTTAAATAAATCGTATGATTAACCAGGATTCATCAGGCTAAATAGAAAGCCTGCCTCTGTCTTTTCCATTGCAGAGTCATTGCTGATTCATGCACTCCACTGTCCACAGAAAAGCCTTTCATTCATGCTGCCTCCCCCCACTGATGAAGTCAACATGGCACCACTCACCAAAAAAAGCGTTTTGAATTGCATCATCTTTAGTTTAACAGAACCTCTTGAACACTGACAATGGTCTTTGTCTTAAACTACCAACTGTTTATACAGGGTATGATTTCTATGGCAAAATATAACAGCAACATATCAGGAACTCATGACATGAGCTTAACCGCAGAATGAAAATTAACAGTTTAGCTCGTATTATACATGAGACTCGGTTTAGTATCACCACTAATCTTGTTGTGATGATGTTTTCTATGGACGCTGAATGATAATACTCAGGCTACTGTGGTTATAAGGGAGGGACTGACAGGCCAGGAAAACAATATTCCCTCCAGAGGACAAAGGAAAGCTGCCGCCAGTGGGTCATGCGATACAGCGGGGGGGAAAGCTACACTTTCTCTGCCAGTCAGCGAGGAAGAGGAGACAGTAAGGAGAGTTGATGAGAGTGAAACATAATCTTCTCTCACTAACAGAGGAGGCAGTAAAGGAAATCCACCGCTCTCTCTACTGCTGTGTCGCACGCATTCATACAACAACAGTAGGTATGAGTAATAGAGAATTCAACGTAGCATTTAACACCACCAAGAGACATTACACAGGGCATTACATATTGTGTAGTTTTTTATTTTTTTTAAATTTCGGTCAGTCAAGGAAAAGCTAGACATTACTGCAAAGGTGAAGCTTGATAAATTATAGGGGTTATCCACAAAGTCAGTTAGTGGTTCAGGGCTCCAGACTTTTCCACCAGCACATGATTTCGTCAGACCTATCAGGAGCTCCTCTTTCGCTATGTTACAGGCAGTGTTGAACTTGAGGACCATTTCATTCTCCTCTATTGAGTGATTACTCTCATCTAACCACTGAACAGAAGTGGTGAGGGGGTGATGCAGCCATTAGGGTTGTGCCGATGGACGATGATCTCAGTGGTCGACGCTCATCAGAGCGTCACCAATATACGATACGATACGATATTTGTCTTGTTTCTCCATTAATGTAATAACTTATTATTAGTAGTAGTAGCATTAAATTAATGTTAAAATTAATTTGCTCTGTTTCACGTCAGCATCCCCCAAACATAACTGATGCTTGCAACACAGACACATGTGCGCACTCATGCCTACACTCTGACCGGCTGACTAATGTGTTGTGATGACAGTTTCGTTTATTTTTGCGTGTATTTGTCATCCTACTGTGATCGTGTTCACTCCGAGCGACAGAGAGAGTGTTTTGTGAGAGGTTTTGTGCCCTCTCTGTGATCACATCAGGTATTGGCAAATTTCGAAGGGTAACGATAAGACGATCTGACTATATGACATCGCCCGTGCCTAGCAGCCATCTGTGCAGGTTTTGTGATTCTTACTGTTGTTGTGCAACTTTAAAGTCTCAAGCTTAACACAGCATAGCATTTCCCTCAACATACCTCAACTACAGCTGATGCGACAGCCATTGTGGTTTAAAGTAGGACTTTTTCTTCCTTACTGGAAGACCAATCGTTCTCTCCCTGCCTGCACCTGCACTCTCATCATCAGCTGTGTCTGTGTCGGGACCTCTCAGGGGACTAAAACAGCCTGATGATCATCATACACTCACACGAATTTGACCACATAAAATTTTAACTCACACTCTCACAAAATGGTTGCAGCCAGTCGTGACAGCTTCAAAGATAAGCTCATGAAAACATCAAAATTAGACTCTTTCTCAATACTTCCCAAACTTCCCTTCGCTGTCTTTGGCAAGACCCTGACATCTTTTTTCTTTAAGTGTCCAATTTCATTTTATTCATTTAATGTTAAATCAGACAATACAATTTTTTAAAACAGCTGGGAACTGTCATTTTTATCAAATGTTACTCAAACAGGAGTAATTATTACATTTGTTGAGGACAATTTTCAGCTGCAGATTAATACACACTTGTTGCTGTAATGTGTATTTACCCACGACAGCATATTTAAGACTGACTCTGAATAAACTACAGAGCCTTAACTTATCATAAAGAAGGAACATGTCAGTCAGTGCAACTGTGTGGCTCATTTTTTAAACAGTTTTTGTTAGAGAAAAATAAGCACTACCAGACTATACAGCATCAATTAATTATTGGTTACGATCTTTTCATGGGATTTGATTATAATAATAAAAATACAAAAAAATCACCAGCCTTATCCTTTCACACTAATTATAATATCAAGAGTAATAAAGGTTGGTAAAACTGTAACAGAATCACGTGTCAATCAGCTTCCCGTCTTCATATTGTTCACTATCAACTCGTAAACCGACTGAACAGTCAAGCTGAAAGCAGCACCAGTACCTTATCCCTGCCTATCATTCTTATTGCTCACTTGGACTTGCAGTATGAACTACAGCATGAATTGCTCTGAGTCATCAACTGAGATTTTTTTCATCCTTCAGGAAGGTGGTGTAACGCTGTGAGATCCTGTTATGGAGTTGGCACTGCCGACATTTGGCACAGTTCCTGAACTGCTAACTGCTCACTGGGCATCAGGCCAGTATTGACAAACAGTTTCCTCTCAATCCATTTTACATGTTCAATCATCTGTAATCAAACTGACTCAGAGCAGTAATCATAGTTTTAATGTGAACATCTTTAGAGCTCTGTGTTTGAACACATCGAACAAAAGACCAGTTATAGCTCCGTCATTGCTACAATTGTGGCATTATTAAATATTAACAAATATGTGACAAAAAGTGATGCTCAACAAGTTTGCTCTTTTTCTGAAACCCTTTTTCTTCATGTTCAGGATAAATCTGTCTATAGATCTATAGATATATAGATACATATGTTTACATATTTATGTATACATTATATAAATAAATATAATGACCATTTAAATCCCACCATCAATGCCCCATGTTCAGTTGCGTAATTTGTATTAAGTAATTCCAAAGAAACCACAGAAAGGTCTGTGGAAACCTGGGCAAATAAAACCTAAACTATCACTATTAACACCAGTCATGGTATTTGAGGAAAAGTTGGGTTTTTTCATAATTTAGGTGATGCAAACTTTTAACATCAGAACTAGTAAATCGATCAAAGGTTCATCATTTCACTACTGTTGATCGGTAAAGGTGTTTCAAAAGTGCTGCAGGTCTAAGCTAGGCTACTGCTCGGGGGGATGCCTTTCACTGAATATGGCTAAAACAATATTTGAACAAACAAAACTACTAAAAAAATACACCTGCACCTGTCAACCTGTGATAACCCCAAATGTACGATGGAATCTGACTGTCGATCCATTATGTAAATCATAAAAATCAGTACCAGTTGTAAACATTTGGCCGGACTGACACTAAATTAGTCCTTAGTGAAGACAGCATGACTTTGTGTCAGTAAATGTGTTTAACTGCATTTATGTCATATGACTGTCACCGTCATCCTGCTAGTTTAGAAACTAACAGAACATCCGGTAACTAATAAGATCAGAGCCGAGTTTGACTTCAGTACAGCAACAGAAATCAAATCAAAAGAAAACAAACCATTACGCTTTAAGCAGATGGTTCTATCCCCAATAATTTCGAAAAAAAAAAAAAAGTAATTTACAGTCCAAAGTTCAAATGTTTTACTCAAAGACGTGTTGAGGATGTGGGCTGCACAATATAAAACCTCTCTGACCACTTGATAACACCACAATATCACTTCACAGGAAGGTGGGAGACGGGACGGTATCTCAACCAGGATTTGGTGTTTCTCAAGAATCAAGTCATTTCACAAAACTATCTGCGATACAGAACCTCCACTGCTAAGCTGTGTATTTTCCTATCAGCGTAGACAAACAAGAAGTAATAATCAGCGGAAGCAAGAGTTTGAGAGCTGGATCGTAGCCACTTCAAACACAGCGCGATCCCACTGAGACGTTTACTAGCTACGGTCTGTGAGAAGTGGAAGCAGTCCAAGTCAAATCTATGTCTATGGTGATGTGAGGGGTGTCAGGGCATTGGCAAGAGATGAAGGGAATCATACTCTTCACTAATGATTGAATTACACCCTGCAGCCCCTAATTTTAGAAACCAAGGCCAGACATCATGGTCCACCAGCAGATTTAGCACTGTATGTGTTGCATTGGATTTGGTACTGAGCCAATGTTTGACAGACAGATTTCCTGAGCAGAGAGGAAATACTCCTTTAATTTTTCAATACTGTCATTTGTTTTTACCCTTTTGGAAACACAAAATAATCTTGTAAATACAATAAAGCTTTTTTTTTTTTTAAATCAAATTCAGTCACAAATAAATGATATTGGTAATCAATTAGGCTTTTCTGCAACTGCATGAAGTCGAATATTTTCAAACAATATAATTAGCATTAAAACTACTCTCTCCAGTTTCATGTTGTATTAATGGATGTGATATTGAAGGTAGTTTGTCTTTCCACTGATACTGCATTAAGCTGTATTGCTAGCATTTTTTAATGTCAAATCAATAACGTATTTCCAAGTGCCTACTACAATACCAGACCCAGAAGTGTGCTGTGAAACCGTGCAACCTGTCTGGTGAAGAGAGATCATCAGCCGGTTGTATAATAACAGGTTTTGCATGGCACCATTACACTGACAGCTCTACTATAGGGCAGCTGATTGAATTCAAAAACAAACGTAACATGTCAACCACATCAAAGCTTCAGCATGTTAGGAAGGAACGTCACATTCTGCATATCTTCTAGCAGCAGCTACAGTTAGTGCAACTTGTCTCTCTTTGTCTATTCTGTGCAACAGATTCATGCAGACAAGGGTGGAGAAAGATTGCTCTGACCTCAAATAGCATCAACCAGAGGCTGTTGTCATAAAATGTAGTTAAGTTGGTGTTGTATACACTGACTTATCCAGTTGTTTCCAGTTACATGGTAAAACACAAATATAGAGACAATGGAATCATTAAAGATGTTTAGAGTCCTGCATTAAATTGGCAAAAGAGTCCACTGACGTTCCCGCGCTGGGTGGTAGTGACTGTTGCTTGCGAAGAGCGTCAGCCATCGTTGCAGTTGCAATAAAAGAAGTTATAATACGTCCTCTGAGCAGTGCTACTAGACTGGACGCTACACGGAGTCGCAATCGGAAAGTGATGAGATGGGCCAACCAGGCCAGAGCTAGCTGTTTAGCATGCTAATTTCTGTAGAAGATAAGACGTGATAGAAACAGAAGCAAAACAAGAGTTAACATCGGCGTTGCTTTCCAGCACTGGAGACAGCTCTTGGTGAGTAAAGGGATAAAGTTTGATGCTGACCTTGCAACATTTCTTATAGACTGGTAAGTAAACAGCTGTTAAAGCTAACGTTGGCTATGTAGCAATAGCAAAAATGAACAAATAGCTCCTTTAAATTTCTATTTACAGACCTTTATAGACTTTTTTATCAAACTGAAAGCCAATAATTATTATCATCATACTACAAGGTTTATAAAGTCTGATACTTAAATGTCAACTGACTGTCCGCTGTAAACTGAACTGAGATACATGTTAGACAAGAAATAATTCTTATACATTAATGTGAACATCAAAATATACAGTCTCACTAATCACATGGACCCAAGTGGCGTTCAGCAGCGACTACCTGATTTATCAACAGTCTACTGTACGGGAGTTAGCTGGACTTTACACCGTTGGAAGACAGTGGGTCAATCCGATTTTACAGTTAAACACTGGCAACCGTTACAGGTAATTGCACCGATAAAAAAATCAGTTATGTGCACATGGCTTACATAATGCTATGCATAAAACCATGAGCATTACTCATAGATCGACAGATAATGACGGCTATTACAGCAAGTTGGTCGTGTGTGTATGACGTGATAACAGAGGTGTGTGTGTGTGTGTGTGTGTGTGTGTGTGGGGGTGGGTGGCAGAAAGAGAAAAGGATTAAGAGTGTTTCCATTGAGAAACTTCAAGCATAATGATGATACAATATTGACAGCAGCTGACAATCCCTAATGCTTGTTGTAACTTCTCTATGAGGACGTGTGTGTGTGAGTGTGTGTGTGTTGTTCTGCTACCCTCAGGCCTAGTATCTGACAATCTGACTCCAGGTGTGTGTATGTGTATGTGTATGTGTGTGTGTATGTGTATGTGTGTGTGTGTGTGGGGGAGAGAAAACGATAACACACAGCAAGTGGGAACAAGAAATGCTAAGCTGCATATTTTTTAACATTTTTTCTGTACTTGCGGATATTTTATTCATCCTGAGTGATCACATTTCTTGGATGAACTTTTATATACTGCAAAATCACCAAGTTTAGTAAAAAAAAATTGAAGTTTTTCTTTCATGTAAAACACACAGAAAGACTGAGGTTCAAATTCAAGAGTCAGAAGATTTCTTGCTGATCTTATTAACTAATTCAATTTACTGAAAAAAGTCCCCAGACTAACCAGTTTCCTCGTGATGAGGAGCATTCTGCACTAATTATAAGAAATACCTTTAGAGTATGCATTCATATTTATTCCTTATCTGTAAGTGCTGCACTATGCCTTCACAGGTAAGGTGTTTTATATATTCACTTTTTGTCCCAAACAAAACGAGAAGTAACCTGGAGAGGAAGGTTAATACTCACTTATTACATTAGTCATATTTACTTGCAGGGGGAGAAACAGGGTAAACACCTCCACAGATAATTCATGTTAGCCTGAGTGACACATTACGCTTTTCATTTTATTCCATAGGCATTTCACACAGCAGACATTTTGACTGGAAGTAGTAAAGGGTGTTTCTAACAGCGTTAAAGATGCTGGAGCCAGAACGCACAATACCAGGACCCATAGAAGCTAATTGGAATTCAGCCATCACTAATTTGATTATTTACACCTGTGCTTTTCTCACTGCAACATGTCCAAATGTCTTCCGTGAAAAATGCCTATTTATTAATTAGTTAAAAGCTCAGTACTTTGCCATTGGGGGTGTTATTACAGCTAAGCTACCTGTCTGAATGTGTCACAGGACACAGAGACACCTTTGCCGTTTAGCAACCTCTCTACTACATGTCAGTCCATCTCAGTTTGTTAATGTTAGCACCATCAGTGACTAAGATTGTGTAACAAAGTGCTGCAGTGTTTCACAATAGAGGCAGTGACAGCAGCTCTCACCTGTTGGCTCCTTCCCGCCATGCAGCTTCAAAAACTTGCTGGCAAAAATTTTAGACGACTCTGACCCCACAGAGTAGCATTTTCACAAAGCCAATATTTTGACACAGAAATGATGAAGTTCATTAATGTCTGTTATGGGTTACAGTCGTCATTTCAGTGAGTGCGCCTACCTGTCAATCTCAGCTGCTGTCACTTGTTGTCACCTTCTGTTCCGGTGTGTTTTTTGCACTCCAGTAACCCGGCTACAAGTTCACAAGTCCTGGCATCTCTAACGATTTAAAGGGCCTCGGCCGTGGCGGGAATGAAGTTGACACTAAATGAAGTTTGCACCGGTCCGTGTTGAGTGGCTCCCCTGCACAGCCAGACCTGTCTGCAAACACAGCCGAGGTTTGAGTGCTGAGGCTGCTGGCGTCAGGTCCTTGCCGTCTTTGTACAACACAAAGATCGTCTATGTGTCTGAAGATGGATCACTCCAGAGAGGGAAAACTGTCTCGTTTGTGTACCAGTTAGTTAGTTAGATAGTTAGTGTATTTGCTTCTTAAAAATAACCCTTTTATTTTGTTTTGTTTTTTATTTGTAACTGGAAACTGTGGTACACATCTGAGTGTAATGAATAAAAAAGTCCAGTGGGCATTGTTTTATTCATTCTTTATTGCAAGAGGGAATATGTTAAATTTCTAGTTACAATATTATTTTGCTTTAAAAAGACGAGAAAAGGCAGGGGTGTCAAAAATGTATCACACTTAGAATATATTCAAAATAGAAAACACTAATAATGCTAAAGTATTACCAAAAAGATCATGCATAATTGACAAATTGCTTGTTTATTTAGAAATATTTTTATTATCTTTATCTATTTTCATTGTTGTGTAAATAGGCTTTTATTGAATTTTTTAGCCTATAAGTAAAAACAAGTATAGTTTATAGTAAAACTAAACCATCTTCGGACATTTCCTGTTAATACTATGTTATGACATATCTCTACTTACCCCACTACAAATCCTGCTCATATCTATCATTGTGGTGTTTATTGCAGAAAGAATCAGCAGCGAGGTGAGGCATCTTTATTTCTCTCACATCTCTGCTCCACATTCAGGCTGTCAGCCCACTCTTAAAGGAACATGCCACAATTTTGCAATATTACTACACTTAGTGGCTGCAGCCTCAACAAACAGAGCAGAGTGATTTGGTTCCTATAATGAATTCTAAAACATTCAATTCAAATTATTAGTTGCTGCTTCACCCAACAATCCAAAACTGACAAATGAATGAAGTTACACATTGTACTCCTTTTGAAGTAAAAGAAAAACATATGGTTTACTTTGTCTCCATCACCTGGTCAAGCACTGTCACAACAACAATTTTCTTTGAATTGTCTTGAGCCTCTCAAAATGGTCTGCACTGTCAGCACCACCATCACTGTTGAATCATAAGGAGTATTAACTATTCACACATCTAGCAGCTTCTTTGAAAATCAAAACCTTGCCCAAAATAATGTATGTTGTGGTAGTAATCTACTTCTTGGTGTTCTGTGCTGTCTCGTTGTTACTAGCATTCAAGTTCTCAATATTGTGGTATTCAAGTGCCACATGTTAAAATTAAAGAATTTCTCTTTCTAAAGCAGTGGAAAAAAAGAACCTCCTGAAACAACTGAACGGTTTTGTTGTTCATAAGGCTTACACACATTTTATCATTAATGTTTGGCTTTATGGAGAATTACAGAAAGGAGGGAGATGAGGCAGCAGAAATGTTGAAAATTTTGGAACATAGGTGATGTGTTCTGGTTTTCACACTGCCAGTTGTGATAAGGGGACAAAACCATGAACAAGGGAAGAGGGGGGATATTTTTTTTAGATATCATTATCCAAAGACCAGATGTCGCCTGCTAGTGAGTTGGCACAGCCCTGAATGGTCCAGGTCGCCAAGGCAAACTGGTTGCGGAACAAGTCGGCGTCAGACTCGGGGTCGTCGTTCCTGAGGGCGTCGAGATGGTTGGACAGAGCTGTGACAGTGTGGGGACCAGAGCCCAGCAGGATGTGGCGGAAAGGACTATCTTTGGGAGACACGTAGGGTGACAGGAAGTTCCTTTCCACCTGCAGAAACAAGGGGAGGAACACGGGGATGAAGGAGGAAGGATTTTTTTTTTTTTGGATGTCATGCCTTTCTAGGCTGGTTATTTTACACCTAAATGCTCAGCTATACAACCTATACCTTGGAAAAATGAAAATATAACAATCTGCCTTTGGATAATCTTGACAAAGCGCCCAGGAAAAATACAATAACTGCAAACAAAATGTGTTTTTTCTGCTTTGTTGTCCACTACAAGTAGTATTAGTTAAAGAAAAACTTTTTACAGCCCATAGCCTATGGGAATTAAATGTGTTTCTATTGTGGTAGGTGTCTGTCTGTCTGACTAATATTGATATTGAAATCAATATAACACATAAATATACAGTTTAATACATTTAATTATGGGATTTAAGGTAGTTTAGGCACAGCCAAATGCATAGGCTAAATTCCAATACAATCAAAATCTAATATGGCAGCTAAACTCCTGCTACACTAGTTAGCTTTAGCACACTTTTAGCTGGGTGTTTTTCTCCATCATGACTGGATTTAGTAATTTGCTTATTTAGTTATGTGGTGTAACTAACTGAATTACAAAGATGTATGTTAGTCAAAATGAATTTTTTTTTTTCAAAAACAAAGCAGTTAGGTGAAAAAAATCAAGAAAGCTTAGAGTTAGTTCCTTCAGCTAGCTTTATGTAATGTAGCATTCCTGCTTTAGTTGCCTAGTTGACAGTCTTTCCTTGGCAGAGTGCAATATTGTGAGGGCAGAAGCTACTGCAATTTGGGTTGATTTTTAGCTACATTTTGTAGTTACTGCAAGTTCAAATGGCTGTTTTCATGGAAATTAAGCATTTGTGTCTTGTAGTAATGTTGTCTATCATAAAAGAGATGTCAAAAAAAATTGTGTCTGTCTGCTGTCTCTGAGAGCAAATCAAAACAGTAAGGCTTCAGAACAGACAGCTAAATAATGAGCTGTCACATGGTCACATGGTCATTCAAATAATAAAAACAGATTATAGCTGCTTTAAGATTAAATTAGTTTTGTTTTACTTGTTACCTGTGAACTGAAAGTAATTTACAAATAATTACAGATTTCTCTTACTTCAACCTGTTCAAGCCATTTTTCCTTTTTGTAGGTAAGAATGCCACTATTTTGACAATTCTGAGTCCTGACAACTCATTGTCAGGGACTGCATTATTTTTTTAATTGCAACTTTAGCGATACAACAAATAACACTATATTATTTTTAGATTTGACCATATAACTGATAATACATCTCTAAAGATACTGCACCATTGAGACATGCTGAGAGTTGCTTTTCCACAGAATGTCTCCATACTGAGCCCTACACCTTAGAGATCTTACCGCCATGATGCGGTCATTGATGATGCGGCACATCTCGATGTCCTCCAGGTCACTGTTCTGGATTTCTGTTGCCAGGTTGCGAGAGGCACGGCTGTAGGAGCCATAGGCTGAGATCAACCACTGCACTGTCAGCGCCTTGGGCAACAGCTGGGGCTTCATCTGGAAGCACACATGGCATCAACACAGGTAAATGTGTGTTCTGAGTAAACAAAATTAAATGAATGTGCATCTTCAAGGCACATTTGAGTTATATAATAAAGACAGCATTGGAAAAAACTGACAAATGAAATGGCACTAAAAACATATAAACTTGCTTCTTTACAAAGATAGATAATCATTTATTCTTTATCTGTGTGCAGAACTCTGAGTCAGGTCAACCTTGACTTCTTCAAGAATTCGCCCTCAAAAAGGTAAATACAATCTTAGTTTGAAAGATCATAATTGGCCACTCACCCTCTGAACATTCTTCAATTTCGTATTGATCTGAGCCACATGAGTACGTATAATCTTCTCGTACTTCCCCAGGTCCATCTGCAACAGATGATCATGGACCAGCCTCAGCGCAATGTGACCTGCGAACCGGGCCGATGTTACAGCCAGCTGAGGAACCTGGTTGGCCGTGGCCGAGTTCAGCTTCTCCCTGGTGTCCAGCATTGTGCCAAAGTATTGGTAGTCCTAAGAGGGGAAAAAGATGTGTAAAGAATTAGTTAGGTTAGATACATCCCTGGATGAACCACATTTTGACATAATGGGTTAGGGTTCGTCCTGGGGTATGGTTAGAAAATATTAAAATATTATTATATTGGTACATCAGGACGACTTACTGAGTTACCAGAGGTGAATCTAAATGAGACTGAGGGAATGCCAGAGAAGGCCAGGAAAGGATATGCAGCGTTATCCAACTTCAGAGGCTCCAACCTGGAAAATAAACAATGAAAAAGAAGATTAAGTGGTGAACATTTGCTAAACGTGAGTATGATGGCTAGCCCACACATTCCAGTTGTGAATGTGATCCTGAGAAAATTTTGGTTGTCATGGAGATGTATAAACACTGAGACTGTGGATGGGAATGCAACAGCCTGGTCAGACTTACACATCTGATTCCCAGTTGCCCTTTCCAAATTGAGTAAAGAGAGACTGATCCTTGCCGAAGTTCAACTGAGGACAAAGCAAGTGTATTTATTATATTAGCATTTGAAAAATTTAGAAAACAAATGAATGAATTGTATTGAATTGCTGTGGGTTTACCTCTTTCAGAGTGTTCTCGATCAGGCCGTGCATCAAGGGACTGGCTGCTACTTTAAATCCACTGCGACCTGGAGAAGAAGACTTACATTCAGTCAATCTGAAAATAAAATTGCGAGTTTAAAACTTTCCTATATTTACAGTATAACTGGTTGTTTTGGCCACTTGGGGACAACAGAAACAAGCAGTGAACATAACATTGCTCCACTATATTCACTAGCTGGTCCCTATCTGTGTCTATCTGCCCTTTGATATCAAGCAGGTAGTGTACAGTGGGGTTTTACACCTTTTTCACTCAAACAGCTGCCTGCAGCGGCCCAAAGTGACGCCATGAGAGCTTGGAGACTGAACCCAAAGATCAAAGTTGGGGGTTGACAGCTAAAAATTGAAACTAACTACAAAGCTGAGAGGAGCTGCACGTTGGAGTGATGGCTGTCACATTGTCATTTAACACATTGCTGTTCTATAAGTCAATATAAGTTATACATGTTGATCATCTAGATGTGGACAAGATGTCCAACATGTTTCTAACCGTAAATACCTGTTACAACACCGTCCAGGTTGATGTAGGAGAAGGCTTTCATGTTCAGAGAAGACAGATAACCCTAGACATGCAAAAAATTAAAAAAAATGAAGAGTACAAACACCAATCAGTTTCATTATTCCATTAAAGCTGCTCATCAAGAAAATGTTGTATTACAAAATTGCAATTCTCACCTCCAACCACTCGGTGGCGCCAACGCTCCCATATTCTCCAGCAGTCCAGCTAGCAAACACAATCGTCCTCCTTGGCTTGAATCCATCTGTTGAAATGGATAACAAATGCATATTAACAAAAAGAGCAGTGCCCTCACTAAATAGAAAATACTTCGATAATTTGATGAGGCATGTCCAATGACTAGTTTCTTTAGCTCCTCCATGGCATACAATAATCAGGATCTGATATGAATATTACATGTACATCCATTCCATCAATATTATTGTGCTTAAAATCTTCTCCAAACTAAACAGCTGCTGTTATCCGAGACTCACCATTCTTCACCATGTCTGAGATGGAACGAGCCAGCTCAACGAGGACGCTAGTGCCAACGGTTGATGTTGCAAATCCTGGACCCCATGCGTCTCTCTGGGCACCGATGACCACATACCGATCTAAAATTGAAAAAGACAATGAGAACAACTCACACTCTGTTCAGTAAACTGACTTCCTGATCACAGTATCTCTCTCTTGTTAAATAAGCATCTCATCGTACCTGCATCCACAAAGCCTTTGATGACGCCAAAGACATTATGTATCTTTTTCTCAGTAAGAACATTGTTGACCTCCACGGTGATAACATCTGTGTCGTCTCCAAGTTTATGGTAGAGTGCCCATTCTGCCGGCCCACTCTGACCCCCAAGCCCCCTGTAAGACACAGACAATAAACATGATGTATGCTGCTACTGAGAAAACTATCGGAATATTTAAAGTTGACAAACAAGGTACTATATTTAATTCAGAGATTTTATAATGTCTGTCTTTTTAAAAGCATCATTTCAGATGGTCCACAGTGTGTCTGAGCCTTACCTCTGAATGCTAGTAGCCATAGCTGTTGTGATGGTCTGAGCCAAGATTGTTGGTAGACCTGAAGACTGGACAGGAGGAAACTGGGTGTGGTTGAAGGAGGGGAAGCCTGGCGTGTAGGGATCCCCTGAACCCATGTGGACCTGTGATGGACAGACAGAAGTCTTATGAAGTTTGACCGGCAGATACCAGTTTACAACTAAATTCTGTTGTTTTCAAGACTAATCTTCCAGCAGCCTAGAGGCTCATCTTCAAGCTTCTAAACTTGAAGCCTATAATTATTATTCAAATCAAATATTCCTACAACAGCTGAAGACCACATCAGGTTCATTTCCTGTCATCCAAGAACACAAATCTACATATTGTAATATGTAATATTAATATCCTCAGCACACAGAAACAAAACTGAATGTCTCTAAATAACTAACATGCTTCTAAACTGCCCACACTCACATGTCCAAAGAGCTGAGTGGTGTCTCCGATAGAGTAATCCAAGGGGTCTGCATAGATCAGCACAGCAGAGGCATTCATTTTGGCAGCATTGGCTACCTGTAAGCAAAAAGATAACAGCAACGTTCAAAATATCATACTTTAGAGTAACTGAGGGGAAAAAGAAGAATAAAGTTTATAATAGTAAAAGTTATATTTCTTACTAAAACCACCCACCTTCTCAGCAAAACTGATCCTACCAGCTCTGACCAGCACAACCCTGCCATTCAGGTTGATGTTCCTGCCCTGCAGAAACGTGAAGTCGCTTCCCTGCCCATAGTGTGCATACACAACAGCACCCTGGGCCAAAAAAAAAAAAAAAAAAGAATTAGGGCATTTTCTCTATTTAATTAAAAAAAATATCTACTTAATTTTGCTTGTAGATTACCGTTACTGTTCCATTAGCACTGTAGGACAGGAATCCGTTTGGACGCTCCTCTTTCCCGTCCTTGAAAACAACTCTGTTGGAGCCAGAAGCTGGGGGGTCCTGAACCTTAACAAAGTGCTCATCAGTCCAGGTGTTCATGCCGTACTCTTTAAACCTTGTGATCACCTTGTTCGCCAGATCTTCATCTCCCAGAGAACCAGCCTGATGGCTGTTGCTGGTAAACTCACTATGATAAGAGGAAACAAAACATGACGGGAAAAGAAAAATGGAGGGAAGCAAACAGAAATCAATGAATACAATGTGACACAAATAAGAAATTTCACAATAGTAGTCATTTTATGAAGAAGTCAACCCTGCTTCACAGCAGAATTTAGTGTGTGGGCTTTAGACTTACCTAAAGACAGGTTCAAATTTGCTTGCAGTGAGTTTTTCGGCCAAAAGCTCTTTGACATCGTCCCAGTCCATAAGAGGGGCAGCACCGGTCTCATGGAGAACAGGTTGTTCAGTTGGGAGCATGGAGACTGCAGGGCTGGGAACCAAGTCCTTCTTTTGATGGACGAGGTAGCCAATTAAGTATCCTGAAAAAAGCAGTGGTTTCACATAAGGAACAACCAGAGACAGACAGGACCAAAGAAAAGCACACATTTTTCCTTTATCATCAGGACACAGCCACATAAAGCTCTGTGTCATCAGCATAGGTGAGGAAAGACATACCGAGTCTCCTGATAACACCAATACAGATTCATATCAATACAGAAAAGTAGTGGTCCTAAGATTGATCCCCGTGGCACTCCACGTTATTTTAGATTTATTTTTGATGCAATCTCAATATAACGCAGCCTCTTCATTCAATCACCTCTCTTACCAATGATAAAGATGAGGAGTGTTGCAGCTGCCATGAAGCAGAGGTTCTTGGGTGTACGTCCAAACTTTTGAGCCACATATGGTTTGCGGACTGGGTTGTGATTGAGATGGTCTCCCACTCCATTTCCACCAACGTCTTCATCCATGTTGGACGATGGCATCATCCCCATCTCACGATTGTCATGGTCACCTTCCATTTTGTGCATCAAGTTTAAAGGTTTATGGTAATGTGGCTCCTTGTTGAACTGTAAAAGCAGAAAAATCCAGGGATCAGGAGAAAATATGATTTTATAATTAATCTAAAAAAAATTGTTGTTGATAGAACCTACATATTATAATTATTATTATAATATATTTTTTATTATATTATATATTACAAATAATATTATTGCCATCTTTTAACACACTCACAAAACACTGAACTATTGTATCTAGCTGTTTGTGACAGATAAAACTCTCACCTTCTCTTCACACTGAACAAGGTCTTCTGTGACAGCTGCTGACAAAAGTGTCTGGTCCTTCCTGCTTTGTTGCTCTCTGTTTGCTTACTGAAATGATACAAGAAACAATAAAGTTGAAATAAGGGCACTGTCAGTGGTGGAAAGTACCTAGTACACTGTCTCATGCACTGTCAGCGTAATTTTAAAAGTAGGCTACTGGAGATATTCTACTTAATGCTTTTTTTTTTTACTGACCAAACTTAAGAAAGAATTTAAGAAAATACTTAAGAAGATATTGGTGAATGAGGCCCGTTTTCCGTAAATCCATAAAATAACATTTACTTCATGCAATAGCTGTGAAAAAGGTGGCTCTTGGAAAGGAAGGGAAGCAGAACAATTCAGTTTGGCAATCAGTGTGCTGTCACTGATTTGTTTTTCCAGTGACGTTGTTTGGGATCATTTCTCCTTTTTCTTGTTTGAAAAAACATATTTAGTGTTTCAACCTAGCTCTTCAGGGGAAAAGGTAAGCAACATAAAACAGATGTTTTTTTCTTTAATAGGTACGATGCTTGGGAAATTTTAAAAAAATCAAAAAAAAAAATTTAATTAAATGAGATAAACTAAAAAGTGAAAAATGGTTAATGCTAATGGTGCTGTTTAAAAAAAAGAAACAAATATAATCAAAACAGGACTACACTGTCTCAAATAAAACCAAGAAACATTGACAACATTTTAATTGTGACAGAGTAGTTCCCAAACAAGATTTCTGCTTGTGTGATCAGTTTTTAAAGCTATGCTCTGCCCATGTAGTTTAACAAGTATCCAAGTATCAATAAATGTAGTGTTCAAAACATAAAACATATCAAAATATAACAACAACTAGTGAGAGAGGTATGCTGGCGAGCTGAGGGTACCAGCCGTAGCAAATGACAAGCTGGCCAAGCTTTTATAAGTCCCAAATTGCATTTAGTTGATTGCAAAGCCGGACTGGGTGTGGCTCCAATCAGGATCCATGGCTCCTGCAGGAAGTGGGAATGGGGTTGGGCAACATGTCCAGCAGCTTGAGCCGATTTTGAATATGGGACCACGTTTCCTGCTTAATAGTTACACAAAAAGGTTAGGCACAGGGAGGGCGTGAGCTGCAGCCGTAACAAGAAGTCACAGTTATTTCTTGTCACAGAGGGCGGAGGGTTGATTGCCCTTTACTTAACAGACAAACACACAATTCCTATGCTAGCAGTTTAAAATGGAGACAATATTGATAATTTGGTTATTGTATCACCCAATGTTATGCTCATACAGACAGGGTTGACAAATCAACAACCCCTGTGATTGGGCATTTGTGGTGGGCAGGAGCAAAGCAGTCGCCACTGGTGGTAAATTATTAGTAAATCTTTGTAAACAGGTGGTTCTTTTTATTTTTTGATGCTAGGTTTTGCAATCTCATTTATTTACCATCACTTTTAATTATTGATCATTTAGTCAAAACAGACGTAGTAAGGTTGTTTGACTGTCCCTATAATTGTTCTTTTGGGTATCTTCAGTAATGATATGTTTATACCTGGTTCCAGGCTGCAAACGTGTATTTTGTGCAAACCAGTCATTGGGTGGTCTGAGCTCAGGTTCTAATAATTTCCCACAGTATAATTTTCCCACATTTTGTATCACTTTCTGTCATTGCTTTGAAATTTCAAGTCACATGAAAGAGGAGCTGATGCAGCTTAGAAAACGTCTTTAAATCCATTGTTTTTTAGAACATGCATGATCGTACCCACGACTACACTTATGGAGCTACTGTATATCTCCTGCTGGACAAAACAGTGGACATGATGGGAATTTGTTCTATCTTCTCTTGGAAACAGCAGTCTCACTGTTGAGGATTTACAGTTCTGAAAGTTCAACAACATTTTTCACGGAAAGTCGTTGTTGTAGTTTCATGCAACCTCAGGCCAAGAATGTAAAGTCACTATAGCGACTGCAGTCAGAGTGGATTGGAGTAGTTTCTTTTATCTGTGTAATCACTACTTGACACTCTGATGTGGTCTGTCTGGTTGAATTGTTATCTCTGGGGCAAATGTGTTGGAGGTGAACAGCACAGCAAGCCAACAGATTTCCACAGTATCTGTAGCTGCATTCATGTCACTGTAACAATACTCCAACTGTGTGAAAGCAGTGGAGGAAATGTTTTCTCAGAAAAAATGGTAGAGGTGGAGGTGGTTCTGGACTTTCACAATGTCTAGGGTTTTCTTTTCTAAGAAACGACATGCACAGCACAGCACACACAACACCTCAGTTCCTGTTCATATGAAAACATCATATAATTTATATATTATATATTTTGGTAGGAGGAACTTCAGATGAGTTTGTGACATCCTTGTAAGTTGTGTAGTATCTACCAGAGACGGGAGTTTCCACTTAAGTCTCAAATCCAAGCAAATTTGAGAAGTGAGTTCTAGTTTGACACGAATATGTGAGCTACACATTGTATCTGTTGCAGCTCAGCAAAGTGACAGTGTGTGTATAACCTTAGTGTGTGTGTGTTAGCAGGCAGACAGGCTTCTCCAGTAGGTTTCCCCAGATGTTTTTATGCAAAGATGTGAAGTAAATGTCTAACCGGGTCGTCTCTGTAGCATGGACACTGTCTGCAAGCTCCAGGCTTCAGACCTGCAGAGATTCTCCCTCCTGTGCTGTTGTCGGTGGTTTGCGGTTGGACGGGCACATCACACTGCAACAAAACACACTCGTCTTGGAATAACTATTCACAAGTAGGCCTACAGTAAATACAACATCTGTCATTGAAGAAACTGATTCATTTGACAGTTCCTGAAAATGAAATTTTAAAAATAAAAAGAATTAAAAATCTCTAAAACATGACATTACCTTTCAAAGCAGGATAGGCTCACATTGGGGCTCATTCACCAATACCTTCTTAAGTATTTTCTTAAATTCTTTCTTAAGTTGTTCTTAAGAAAGTCCTTAAGAAAACTCTATGTCAGATTCATAAACGTATTCTTAAACTGCAGAATTGTGTGCACCTGTGTTCTTAGATTGATGAATGCCAGTCTCCTCGTAATTGAAAGTGTGTGCCAGTTGGCCCCAATTAGTGTAAACGCCCAAAAATGGCCTTTTAAAGACATGAGACTGAAGGGTCGTGTGCAGACACAGACAGATGTGACAAAGTGATACCGTAAGGCAAAGTTGAGAAAATGCCAAAATGAAAATGAAAAAAAAAACGCAAAAGGAACTTAAGTAGTTCTGAAGTGTAGGTACTGCTGCAGGAAGTGTTAATGTAGCGTTTATCTATTTTAAAAGACCATAATGCTTTGTAAAACAACACACTTTTTTAAAAAATATTAACAATGACAAAAATATTATTGTAATTTAAATAATATATTATCTATAATTATTATGTAATTATATAACTGTAGAACAGAAGAAAATGGCATCACCAGTTATTTTGCTCAAACATGTCAGCACTCAAATGGTGAATGTCAGAATCTGCGTAAAAAGAGCGTAAGAGGGTTTTAAGAAGAAATTTCTTCTTAAGAATGGTTGCTGAATGAGGCCCATTATGAGCCCATTCAACCCATGGAGTCCATGAAGGCCAGATTCACCTTGCAGGGGGCACCAGGACAAAAATGAGCAACTTGGCCCCTATTAACCTCTGTTCCTGACACACTCTGTGCAGTGTGGACAGGTTTTCAGGGTTGGAATATTATTTGTCGTCAGATTTGCTGGTAGCCCCAATATAAATATGACTTTACCAATTCGAATTTTGCAATCACAAAATTGAATTAGTGTAGGTATTAAAATGCTGATTTGGCCCTCATCACGATGCTGTGTTTTAAATGAGCTGCAAATACCACAAACTAGTATGTTGCCATAATCTGTGTGAAATGATGTCACATATCTTGTACTTACAGAAACACAGTGTCACTGTTGACTATCATCATCACGCAGCCTCTACCGAGCTTCAGCAGATGGACAGCCACCCTGACACTATCCTGTAAGATGCCTTAATAAAGAATTAATTTCTCCCCTATATGATGTTGAGCTGTTTAGACCCAGAGGAAGCAAAGCTCCCAATCATGATGCACCATCCGCTAACTCCAGATGCGGAGTGATGCTTTTTTTCCCCCTATTATTTATTTACGTGAGTGCAGCTGCCATGACACCACACTCCATGATTTTCATGGGAGAGACTAAGTGATGTCTTTAATCATTGGAGCTAAAATCACCCACTGCTAGTGAGATAGATTTCAGTGGGAGATCTTAAAATTAAATAAAAACATGGTTTACTTTGTCTCCATCATCTGGTCAAACACTGTCACACCAACCATTTTCTTCATTGTCTTGTGCCTCTCAAGGTGGTCTGCACTGTTGGCATCACTGTTGAACTATAAGGAATATTGACTCTTAACACATCTAGCAGCTTGTGCAGAAATTAGGCTGTTTTGTTGTGGGAGTTCAGAATGGTTTTAACATTGTTAGCTTCAATTCAATTCAATTCTAAGTGATTTGTTTGTCCGAGGTAGAAAAAGTGCATGGATAAATGTAAGATAATTATATGTGAACTAATAATCAAGCCACAGCTCAATAGTTGTGATGTGATGATTTATTGCAGCAAAAAGAACAAAAAACAAACAAAACAAAAAAACAAAAACAAAGCTAAGCAAACTTGTATCAAGTTTGAAGGGAAAAATGCTCAGTTATTTTAACAATATCGGAACGCATTATTTATAAATGTGAGAATTTTGAATCCCCTCAAATAAATAAAGAGAAATTGTGCAGACCAATTGCTTTGTCTGCATCCCCATAGGAAAGATTGACAATTTAGTTAATATTTTTCCTTATGGTTGGCAAGTTGCCAATATTAGAAATGTAACCTCACTATAGCCCAGCAGATCAGATGAATCACTCAAACTATGAATGGCTAACAAATGATTTTTAAATGGCTACTGAAATTAAACATGTTTTTCTACAGAGGCATAGCATCAGGTGGTTCCCATAATAAAACATTTGAAAACAATGAATGACATTCTGACCACAGTTAGAGTGGCTAAAGAAAAGAAACATTCAGTGTAATTTTTAAATCCATTTACACTGAGTTTTCCTTTCATTGTCAGAATTTCATCTTTTCTGTAACTATCTAAAATGTGTTGTAGCATAACAGGCATTTACACCAGTAACTTTAGATCCTAGCAGAAAACGGTGAAGAGAAAAAAAATAAAAATAAAAAAAAATACAGAAATGTCAAAACAAGCCAAATATACATCCTCCAAAAGTCCTCTAAGTGCTGTATGTAGAAACTTAGTTCTATAATACAGTCACAAAACAAAAAGGCACAAGGAAATCTCTTAACAAGAATGAATGAACACATCAAAAGAGAAGGTAGAATGTACTTTCACGCTGACCAAATCACTAAAAACGACACATATTGCAGAGTGGTCATTTTTCTGGAAGTACTGAACCACCACTGTAACCACAGTGATCCCAACATGTTTGTATCATGATTTCTTTTAAGCTGGAGACCTTCCATATCAGTTCCATACTCAACCAAAAGAAAAGAAAAAGATTTGATTAAAATGAGACCCAAAAAAACTCACTAAAGAAACGATAAGAGATTGAAGACACGCAGTTTACAGATGGGAAATGTTTTCACAAGAGCTGATGTTAAAACTCATCACTATCTGAGATCTGTGAGCAGAAGCTGTAGGCTGCAATCTGTCTGAGAGGAAACTACAGGTACATTAGCATGGAAACATCATAGAAGGGCTCTAAAGATGCAGGCAACGTGTGTATTGTGTAGCAATGAACTGTATATATACAAACATTATGGGAAACACTGTTCCCGATAATAAAAACATCCACCCCTACAGTGAAATATGGAGGGCACTGCCTCCGATACAGACACACAGTGGTAGGCAAAAACTACCTTCTTCTTTTTTCACATTATGGAAGACACTGCTTCCGATAATGTTGTCAGGATGAGAAGTGTACATGTAGCAGAGAGCCAGTACTGAGACATCCAGAGATGTCCAGGAAATATTGTCAAGTGTGATATGTGATGTGGCCTTGCTAAAAAGTCCAATCCAGTGTCAGTTATGTAGAAAGAAAATTTGACCTCAGAGTTGAGTGGTGCTGTGTGCAGCACTGGCCGTCGGTCAACATGTACACTTCTTTTAGCAGATGCTGCTTTTGTCATTTCGACAGTATAACTGTCATAATTATGGAAGGCACTGCTCCCGATAATTATACTTTTTTTTTTTTATAAAAGGCGATAAAAAAAAACTATTTATAGTGAACCCTGCCACTGATAAATAAATAACACAATAAATAGATGTACGGTTTGTTGTTTCAGTGCCACATGGTTGGAGACCCTCTCCCTTGGGTTTCTGAAAGGCAGACTTCCTCTCATGTCAAGAGGTGGATGATTCAGATAATTAACAACTTGAGATTGTTTTTTTCCTTTTTTTTTTTTGAGTTGTTGCATGTACATAGGACTTTTCTTTAAAGATTAATGCAGCTTAAGTGTTGGACAGTGCCAGTAACAACAGCTGATTGTCTCAAATCTACTTCTAGGTGTGTTCTGTGCTGTGTTATTGTAAATTAATCTTCAGTCCTTTTCAGCAACTTCTGAATCTTTGACAAAGAGTTCAGTATCAGATTTCAGCACAGTATGAAATTATAGCTACCAACACAAACCAGCTCAGGTTTCTACATGAGGCTACAGCAGCAGTGTAAATACCAGCAGTTCTGAATTGTAATTATTATGGTAAACAAATGGACATCATTAGCTTATTACATTGTACTGCCCTTTTCTGTTTAATTAACCTCTGAGCTGGCAAACACAGTCATTCCTGTGTGACCTGATACTGTGCTGAAAAAGCGTCACTTTCACTGTTTCCTTTTCATGCAAAGGGTAACACCAATTTAAATAGTACCGCCACATAACACAGGCATTTAAAGGTAGTTGTTTCTAGCACCAGAGTATTCAAGATTGTGGTATTTAAGTACCACATGTAAAAATTAAAGAATTTCTCTTTTCAAAGTGGGGAAAAAAAAGAAAGAAAAAAGAATGACCTATTAAACTTTTTTGTTAAGGCGAAAGGCTTAAGCACATTTGATCATTGTTTGGCTTAAAGGAAATATTGGTATCCATTTAGAAACAGCTCAGATTTTATCACTTCCTAAATCAGGTCATTTTAAAACTAACTGTGACTGAACTGTAACAGCCTACTGGTTTTCACACTGCCAGTTGAGATAAGAGGACCAAACCATAACAAGGGAGGGGGGAGGGGGATTTTTTTTTAGATTTCATTATCCAAAGACCAGATGTCGCCTGCTAGTGAGTTGGCACAGCCCTGAATGGTCCAGGTCGCCAAGGCAAACTGGTTGCGGAACAAGTCGGCGTCAGACTCGGGGTCGTCGTTCCTGAGGGCGTCGAGATGGTTGGACAGAGCTGTGACAGTGTGGGGACCAGAGCCCAGCAGGATGTGGCGGAAAGGACTATCTTTGGGAGACACGTAGGGTGACAGGAAGTTCCTTTCCACCTGCAGAAACAAGGGGAGGAACACGGGGATGAAGGAGGAAGGATTTTTTTTTTTTTGATGTCATGCCTTTGTAGGCTGGTTATTTTACACCTAAATGCTCAGCTGTACAACCTATACCTTGGAAAAATGAAAATACAACAATCTGCCTTTGGATAATATTGACAGAAGACGCAGGGAGAACGTAATACCTTCAAACAAAATGTGTTTTTTAGCTTTCTTGTCCACTACAAGTAGTATTAGTTAAAGAAAAAAAAAATTTTGATTATTTACAGACCATGTGAATTAAATGCATCTCTCTAAATATGTCTGTCTGCTGTTTCTTGCTCTGCGGGGAGTGTACAGTGACTTTATCAGAGCTTTTTTGTTGAAAACCAGCTGCAGTTGAAAACAACGAGCAGTGAGAGCAAATCAAAACAGTCAGGCTCCAGAACAGACAGCTAAACAATGAGCTGGAACTTGATATCAAGCTCTGTAAAAAGGAGAACTGCAAATCTGGGTGTTAATTCTTTGTAGGTTCATCACT